TCAAACCCAAATCCAGGTTACGTGCCCTGATCAGGAATCAAGCCTGCAATCTTTCGGTGCACAGCACAACACTCAACCAACTGAGCCACTCCGGCTGGGCTTTATATAACCTTAATAACTCTCTAAGCATTTCCTCAGGTGAGGATTAAAAAAGAAGAAAAAAATAGTTATATAAAAACAAAGTTTACAGATGGGGGCCCCTTTAGCCAGGGAGTCAGGAAAGTTCTCTGTGAGGTAGTGATATCTGAGCTGACCTGAAAGATGAGAAAGAGTGGACAGTGAATAGAAGAGGAAACAGCAAGTGCAAAGGGCCTGCAGCAGGAACGAGCGGGGTGTGTTTGAGGAACAGTAAGAAGGGCAGTGGCTGAGGAGTAGTGGGGAGGCCAGAGGGGCAGGAGGTGAGGCTGGAGAGTTGGTGAGAGGCCAGAAGGCTTAGGGCCCTGTAGGCCACAGGGAGGAGTAAAGTTTATATTCTAAATGCACAGGAGGCTAGAGAGAGGGTGGGAGTGTACACAGCAATCTGATCTTTGCTTTGAGAAAAGCATTGTCTGGTGTGTGAAGAAAACCTTTAGGAACAAAGTGGGGAGGCTATCAGGAGGCTGCTGCCATTGTCCCGGGAAGTTGATGGTGTCTGGACCATGTGGTAGGACTGGGGGTGTGGAGAAGCCAGATGCAGAAGGGTGTTGGATGTGGAACCAGGCTGATTCGGGATGTAGGGAGGAAGGGAGAAAGAGGGATGCAGCAGAGGTCCTAGGATGGGGCTTGAACAACGGAGATGGGGAGACTGGGGGTGTGGGTTCCGGGGTAGGGCTGATGAACAGGAGGTGGATTTGGGCTGTGTAGGGTTTGCAGTCCCCACCTGGCACCCACGTGGAGGCACGCAGTGGGCACTTGGATATGAGTCTGGAACTCAGAGAATGTGTTCGCTCTAGAAATACAAATTTGGAGCTCATGGGCATATAGACGGCATTTTAAATCACGGGACTGGATGAGATCATCATGGCAGAAGGTGTAGGTCGAAAGGAGAAGACGCTCAGGACTGTCGACTGTAAAATGAGCCAAATGACACCTTCACTCGCGAGGTGTCACGTGAACGCAACCAGCCTAATAGGAACTGAGAACCCCGGGGCGGGCCCGG